AATCATACTTATCTTGCCTTTCTGACAACGTTGTGCTCAATCAATAGAGACAATCATGAATTACGACCAGATATTCGGCAGTCTTATCTCTTTTGGGGATTACTGCGGCTCGATACAACCACATATTCTTTGACCGAAGAATTTAATCCTCCGGTATTACGCATTCGCACAAAACCCACCCCCCTTCGCTTTCCAAGTTCAAGCTGCGGACTTTGCGCTTGCGCTTCTCGGCTACCTTAACCGCACGGTATCCAGTTCGGACACAAAGAATCAGCAAACGACCAGCCGACCCGACAGCCAGCGATCCCATCAGTAAGCGAAGTCGTACTATCGCAAGATTTACGGACCACTCAGATGACCCGTTGTTTCTCTCACAGTGAGCTGCACTTCACCTGTAGGGTGCCTTGCAATGTGGGTCGCTCTAGCTAAGATGCATTGCATAAAAAGTAGATTGGATACAGACACTAGGCCGTATCCAGAGTCTCAGGTACCGACTTCCCATCTAATTCTGTGCAGCACTGCAGCATGCAGTCGGGTCCATGCCTTGGATGTTATGTTGGCACATCCCTGACAGGCTGCTAATCGAACAACTAACTAGGTATCCGTCCGAAGCAGACGTACGAATATCTACACTACCACCACTCTTTGCACCGGCTGTTCCGCGACCTGTGCACCACGTTTCCCAATCCGCGTCCACCTCACCTCATCAAGTAGACGAATATTCGTGAATCGCCGCTACTCTGCGGAGTACTGCAGTTCTGATCTGAACTTGGTCGCTGTGGTTAGGTCATTTTGGACGCCGACAAATCTTTGCTCCCGAGAGCGTCTTCCCAGCGGACCACATACGACAAGGACACAGTCAGCCCCAGAATACAGCCTCCGGGGGACGGGAATACGCAAGCCGCACCGGCAGCGCTCGCCAATAGAACCATTTCGACTACGAATATCTACCCCTCGCCTCTTGTCGCTAGTAGCTGAACCGTATCGCTCTTTCGTTTGAACCTGACAAATACTATCCACAATGCTTGCTCGAAAGGCTTAGGCCTCGCTCTGGAAGCGATCAGCGGTTGCCAACTCAACTCAGCCAGAAATGCCCAGCAGTATTGGGGTTCGGCAAGGAAATCGATGGCAGAACTCGAAAGCTAAATGGGACGGGCAAAATACGACTTGAGCACACCAGTCTACTGGACGTTGGCAAAGTTTTCGGCGAACCATCCGAAAACCTTATCCTCCAGAAAGGTAGCTACAGCCATCAACACAGTCTTCAATCCTTTACCGGTATACCGTTCCAGTTGGAGGGACTAGGGCTGGAACGAGGATCAGGGCCAGAACAACGATGATGACGAGCCCTTGGTCCAAGTGCAGATCTAACTCAAACGTTGGTTCGGGAAATCCCCAGATGGTGGCGATAATTACGAATTGGGCGGAAGGCATACCTAGACAAGAAGACCAATCACTTCCTTGCCGAGTCACTGCGCGGGTGGCAGTCGTCATCGTCAGTCAACCGGGGTCCTCGGATTATTGGGCGAACCATCCATCTATTTCCCTTGTTGCACAGCAGCCCAGCAAGCTAAGCTCCTTCCCTTCTGGTTGTTTTGCTTTTCCGACATCACCAGTTTTGCCGTCGTCCCAATTGCTCGATCTCATCTCAAGTCGGACCTTATCGTAACCATTACAGATCACGGCCTGGCGCTTCGGTAGATCTTTCGCCGCCATCGCCGTGCCCAGTGCCGCTCTGTATGGACAACGGCCCTTTCTTCTCGTTGTCGAAGCTTTCAGGAAGCTTTCCCATCACCCGTCAGGGTCATCTCCCGGTGGTTCAAGTTGGGTGGGCGGCCCAAGCTCTCGCTCTAGAGCCAGCCGGTGCCATCACAAGCCCCAAGCTTCCGGCGTTGCTTCTTTCAGAGGTCAGAGGAAGAGAGTGTCTCGCCTTCACTCACTGTATTGGTCCATGTCGGTGATCGTATATGAGCGAAGCAAGCATGCCGATATCAAAACCATCAAACCGATATCAGCATAAACGCTCCAAGGATGCCGCCACCACTGCCAATTTTTTCACTTTTCAGACGGAACACATGATTAGTAGATGATTCCGTTCGTACTTTAGTCGCGGCGACGGTATGCGTACGATTCCAGACAGACACCCAACTCTGACTTCCCACCCTTGTGTCGTCTAACACCAATGCCGAATCCTGTGCTCCCATATCAGGTGCGGAACGGCCAACTGTCGGAACTTTTCTGGAAAGTACAGGCAGTGCCAAATCACGTCTCAAGTCTCCTCTAAAGGGCAAAAAGGCATCAAAGCAAATCGACGAACCTACCTACATACTCGACACTCAGACATCGTCAATTGAGGTGTAGAGAGCACGAAAAGACGCCTCTTATTTTCTTCGGTATTCAACAGCTATCCCTTGAAACTTCTGCAAGTCGACGCTCCTATCTTGTGTTTGGTATGGGAGCCCATCGCTGCTGATACCCGTATTTTGCTTCAACCTTACGCCACCTCTCACTAGCCTAAGAGTAAACTTGTGGAATGCCGTGTTGTTTTTGTGCCACCTTAGGCTGCTTAGGCTTCAGCTACAGATTTCCTTCAATTTGAGAGGCTGGAGCCCGTCAGCCCCGGCATCTAAAGAGCCTCTCATGGCGCCACCGACATATCGTCTGACTAGGCGAATTACGGCGGTGTCATATCCGCCGGCGATGTCATTTTGCCGCCCGAACACGCTCTCCTGTTGAATAGGACTGACCAGGCGCATAACAGGTATGGCGTACCTAGCTTACACGCTAAATACAACTACATACCTCTGCTGACGCCAGACGATGTCGAATATCAGAAAGCAACCCTCAATCTCGCTCGCACTGTGCGTCACATCGGCAGTCCAAGTTCGACCCCATACCGAATTTGGGTTGGTTAGGCCTCCATCGAAGTACAATGGCGCATGATGGCAGCTCATCTGATTCGCGAAGCATGTTACAAGATGGACCGAAAGATACCGAAACTGACAGCCAATTGTTCGATTTTGCCCAGGTCGAAGCTTTGACAGATATGTCACGGTCAACGTCACCGACAAGCAGATTCACTGCCTCGCCCCCGTTCCAGCTCGGCGAGGGCTTAATGTAAATTCCACAGGAAGTCTTGTATCGCCGCAAACCTAATTGATGATGGACCAGTTGGTCATTGTGTATTGATAGACACATGAGATTATAGAACGGGATACGTTGCCCAGGTTCAAGACATGTCGTCGTAAGTATCCTTATCGGCACCTTTGATATCTTCGACGGCCGCCGATCAGTCTTCTCCGCTGGGCCGGAGACGCACGGGCTCCTATTCCACACCCGGGATCACGGATAGAATCCGCTTGCTACTTGCTTCGAGTGACGGGCATTCCCCCTTTGTCTCTTTCACACTTGCATTGAACGTTGATACGGATCCTCGCCCCGTAATAACCCCAATGCTCTGAGCTACCTATCCGAAGGTCGCAGCCTTTTGGAAAGATGCTTTCTTGTACTTCTGGCTCCACGTTTAGCCGTTTCACATTTCGACGCCGGGATCACCTCTCCTACGGGTGGCATGACGGATCTCGTCTGGCACCCGTCGATGATCCAGGAAATCGACGAGGTCTGTGTGTCGTCTCAACGAAATGTCAAGACGAATAAAGATCGTGCCACGGTTTATTACTCACAATCCGCGAATCTGCCTCCGGAGTATACTCCTGTAAGGCAGTCCGCGGAGTGCGCGGGCCCAGCACGACGACGTTGGACAACAAAATGCCACCCCAAACTTCTGCCACTCTCCATAGGGCCGAGGCAGTGAGGGCCAAAGTGTGGCACACTTGACAAGCAGGACCACCACCAAGCCTCGAGGCTGCAGCAGACGAGACATTTTGCCGTTTCTTAGCCCTACGACGTGGGCGGTATGCTTGCCTCCCTCAGGGCGAGGAGGAGGACCCTACCTGGCAGCTTGGCACGTCCTTGCTGCCGGCAAACGCTCGTTCGGTCTAGCGGGAACCATCTAACGGATCTTGCTTCCCAAAGACAGCCTCCCACGCCTCCATGATCAAGGGATGCCAACGTAGCTTGCACGCTTGGACAATTATGTAAGAAGCCGTCTCGACTTGGGCATTACGTGCGTCTACCTACTTGTAGCACCTGCTTGCTGCACAGACCTGGTTATCAGTGATACAGTATCAACGAATTCCGGACTCTACCTTTAACACGATGGCGAACTACTGCATCGTGCTTCGGAAGCATTGACTCGGAAGATTTGGTAGACTCAACGGAAGCCACTGTTAGAGTTTCGTCAGGCTATTTGTAGTGTCATTCCTCAATTCAGCATAGCGTGGCCTCCTACCATCAAAAGCTTGTTGGAATAGCCAGCCGAATACCTAATACTGGTGAAGTGCAGCACGTTTCCAAAGGTGTTAAACGTTTAATCCGAAGCAGCAGACCATAGCACGATAGAAATTTCTCGCTAGAGTCTTTCTTTGGTCACAATGGGAGAATTTCAAATCTGAATGAATAGGAGCCGGTCCAATCCAGATCCAGGCTAGCCCAGGCCCGGTCCGGCCAGATTTCACCGAGTATCAAAACGGGACCCCACGAACAGTGTTACTCGGTAAGTTGCAAGGTGCCGAAGGCAAAGCTAATCATGGCGGGTCTCCGTAGATTTCTGCCATTTGATGCGAATCCGCCATATCGATTCCAGTTCATGGTGGGCAGTTGATCGGCCTGCCTACCCGGCCGCCCGGCCGCCCGTATGGCAGACAAAGTACTCGAGAGGGGGCGTTGAGCCAAGGGAAATTTCATTAAACACAAGATCCGACTCTCTGCTCTTGAGAAGCAACCAAGTCAACGCTTTACCGAACTGCTCTGTCATCCTCCATCTCACGGGGAGCCTAAGCTCTGTGCTCGCACACGGCAAAGGCAACCAGGCACAGCGGGCAGCATATCGAAGACTCTCGGTCGACCCGATCCGGGAATTCGAAAGCGAACGTCCGGTCCTCGGGGTTTTGTACCGGTCCGGTGCAAGGACCAGAGAGAACAAATCGAATTTGGGTGTTCTGATAGACGCCGGATTGGGCCAAAATCTCCATCCCAGGAAAGGTTTGGTGACGAAGTTGTCGATAACCGCTCTCCCGATGTGGCCCATCAACACGTTCGCAGGTCCCTCTGCTGGATCGTTTTTCGGTCTACTCGGTTCATCGATGGGATAAGGCACTTGTTTATTGTTGAGCAGCAGCTGCAGTAGTGGTGACGGCAGGTTTCCACATTAGTTGCCGGAGGCGTTCCTTCTCCGTCTCGTCTGCAAAGATGGTCTCTATGCCCCGTCGGGCGAGGGCGCAGATCTCGTCGCGAGAGAGCTTGAAGTGCTCCGCTACCAGCCTGTACTCGTTGGACAAGGGACTGCCGAAGACGCCAACGTCATCGGTCTGTTCGATTTTGAAGAGTTAGCTAACATGCCTTGCCCTTTAAACAACAGATGAGCGTCGCGAAAAGAATTCTCAAAAATGGAGCTGGAGACCTCAGAGGGAAGAAGAACCAGAAGGAAAAAGGAACGTACGCCTAGAGATATCAAGCTCCCTTCTACGCCCCACCACTCCCCAAAGTGATGGCCCTCGAACCCGCCCGTCACCATACCCGCGTGGACGTTGCAGCTGAGACACAACTCGAGCCCGATACCGCGCTTGGCGATTTCCCGCTTCACGTCTTCGCCGAGGTGGATCACGTGGCCCAGCCGGCGCGGCGACCACGACAGGATCTCGGCGAGCTCCGCCGGGTGGCCGGAGCACTCTGCCTCGCCAAAGTGGATCGTGATGCCGAGGCCGAGGGTCCGGGCTTCGGCGAAGGCGGGGCGAAAGATGGAGATGGTTTCCGAGTTGTCGTCGTCCTGGCCCGCGGTGTGGACGCGGGCGGCCGGGTCGCCGCAGAGATCTACGCCGACGACGCCCCTGTCGCGGAAGGAGGCTGCGAGGCGGACTGTTTCGTGGGCTTGGGATGGGGTGTGGCGGCGGTCGACGGAGAGGATGAGGCGGGTGCGCATGGCGTTTGGGTTATCCCTGTGAGATGCTTCGAAAGCGTCTATCGCGGAGAGGATGGTGGCAACGTAGACGGACGGCGGTTCGGAGGTCGGCGAGGAGAGGGAGCGCGGGGTGGTGCGGAGTTCGAGGTAGGTTACGCCGTCTGCGTGGAAGTCTTGCAGGACGGAGAGTGTTGCTTTGCGAAGGGTGTCGACGTCGGTGATGAGGTTGTAAATGTAGGATGAGAAGAGAGGGAAGAAGCTGTGTGCCGAGTGTATTTGTTAGTGGTCCAAGCCAGGGAGCAGAGGTTCTTGAGAGGTCAAGGTGAGGTGAGGTGAGGTGAGGTGAGGCTTTACGTGGTGAGATCGTAGTCGTGTTTGCCGTCCGGCATCACGACGAGGGGGTCCTCGAGGTCCGTTTCGCCTGCCTCGTGTTTGATGACCCAGATGTCGTGGAGGATGCGACGACTTATGCTGCCCGTTAAGTGGGCGTGGAGCTGTGATGGTGTCAGGTGAGGGTGTTCATAGCTATAGGTCTCATATCCATAAGGGTTCTTTTAGATATACCTCGATTTTGGGAAGAGCTACAAAGTCCATATCTATTGTTGGTTGGGAACCCATCTTGTCCCAATTGTTGCGTTTTGTGTTCTTGACAATATCGAGTATTTGTAAGAAAGTTGTGAGTAGATGTTGGTGCGATTTTCCCTCCTTATCAGCTGTCAAATGGGAATCGTCGATACCTCACCCCTCCTATTCCTGCCGTCTGTGCGGGTGAGCGAAATTGAACCGCCGGACCGGAAAAGAGGTGGTTGGGAGGAAGATCGCGGGGAAGTCTTCTGGGCGACGTTGAACTCGACTAATGTAGTTTCTACAAAGGGGTGGGTGAGACAAGGTGACAACACTGCTGTGTTTGGAAAAAAATGTGAGGTGTTTTGCGATTGGAGTATGCAGTGCAGGTTTCCCAACGCGGTTCCGAGTCGGAGCGGGCCGACGGTGCCGATCCCGGAGTGCAGGAGCCCCGGATTTTCTGGATGCGTTTGCTTCCGGTGGAGTGAGACATTCCCGGCGCTGGCCGGACTGTTTGCTTTGTTCGAGTCCGGATTATTCATGAACCTTTTCGTATGCCAGCCTTTCAATGTTGCGATTTTATCTTCCTGCCCTGTGTTCCTGTTTCTCTGCCGCTACTTTTCACACTTCAATTGACTTCAATTTCTTATGATACCTCCACACTTGAATCGTTTATACTGCATTGCCAATATTCCCTTTAAAGCGAATCATGCATCCTGACCAACTGACAATTCTGTAATGTTTTTCTTGGCTGGACATGGATCCAACGTGACATTTGCACGCCCAGAATCAAGCAGGCTTCAGTCAGAGCACGCAAAGCCCAAGAAGATGAACTTTGGATGTCGTGAACCGAATGAGTCAAACCACTCACATAAACCGTCTGTCTAACAGTGCATTTTGATTAGTAGTCGAGTGTTTCTTACTATTCATTTGTAGAAACTCAAGCTGATTTTCTAGTTCATCGTGTCATTCGTGCTTGTTTATCGCGAAGTCAAGCTGTCCGGCTTTGGATTACCATATGGCTCTTGTTATACCCACCACTTCTTCTTATCACGCCAATAAAGTCTCAAGTAATACCGCTCGAGCAGATTTCAGTCCTATTCGATCTTGTATTCTCCGTGGTATGAAGACCTTCAAACTCCAGATATAATGCAAAATAGATTTCGACATCCGCATTCTGAGATAGACTTGAGTTGTAATGTTTCTTTCAGAAGGCCACACTTTGCGCATATACATACGATACACCTGGCCTCCTTTTCCACCTAATCTCTTCCCACTCCCCTTACTCCTGCTTATGTCCGATCCTCGGCAGACACAACCACAACACGAGCATAATCCCCAAGAAGGCGAGGATAATCGGCTGCAAAACCTGCACGCCCTTCGCCTGCGCCAGCGCGCCGACAGCAAACGGCAAAATCGCCGCTCCGCTACCGCCAAACGCTGCCGCAAAGCCAATGGTGCTGACATGAAGATGCCTCGGCAACAGCTTCGTCGCGGCAACGACAACGGCCGGGAAAAACGGACCCAAGAAGAACCCCTGGAGCGCGACCGCCACGGCAGAAACGTAAAAGTGCGGCACGAGCCAGAAGACCAGCTCGAGCGCCATGGCGATGGGGATGTAGACCGACACGGCGAGCTTGACGCCCAGCCTGGGGGTCACGAAGCCCAGGACCGCGCGGCCGAGGGTGATGCCGAGCCAGAAGCCGACCGAGGTCATGCCCGAGTCAAAGTTGTTGGCTTTGCGGACCTGGATCATGAACTGCACGATCCAGCCGCCAAGGGAGACTTCGGTGCCAACGTAGGCGAGGAGGAAGAGGGCGCAGAGCCAGGTGACGCGGGCGTAGGGGCGTTTGAAGAGGGCGGTGCGGAGGCCGCCGCCTCCGGCGTTGTCGCTACGGGAGTGGCTTACCAGCTCGCGGTAGACTGCGCCGGTTTGCGTCCAGAAGGCTGCTGTGCACCAGATGAGCTCAATAGTAGCTAGACCGAGCTGAGGATTTGACGTAGAGTTAGATCACATACTGTCGACGTCACAGAGAAGGGATAGGGGGCTTACCATGAAGTAGTAAAAGTTCCACCAACCCAAGTTCGCCTTGTTAATCATAGTCGTGGCAATCAACGGCGCAATCACGCCGCCGACGCCATAAAACGCGTGCAAGAAGCCGAGGACCTCATTGGCCCTCGCCATGTTGCCAATGTACGCGTTCCACCCGGCGTCGCTCAGGCCGTTACCGAAGCCGGCGACGACGAAGGCGGCCACCAGCGCCGGGTAGGGCGGGTGCTGGGAGATGATGATGTAGGCGACGATGTGGCACGTGGAGGCGATGACGGCGATGCCGCGTTGGCCGAGCTTCAGGTGGACGTAGTTGTTGAGGGCGGCCGAGAGGACGTAGCCGATAAAGGGGGAGAGGAAGACGAGGGAGACGACGACGTAGGAGAGGCCGTAGTAGGTTTCGAGCTGGTCAAGGACATCAGTCAGCGTGAGACTGGGGATATCACAGTTAGCTTGGACGGGAGGAAACGTACGTAGGGAATCAAAGCCTGTTACTGAGGTCAGTCGCTGTACGAATCTTGGAGTTTCTGATGGGAGTGGTGAGAGAGACTTACACCGTAGGCGGCATCATTCGCACCGGAGACGAGGAGACTGAAGAAGCAAGATAGGACTCTGAAGAGATTCGACCTCGGATGATTCCATCTCTGCACAAATTCGGCTGTTGTCGTCGGGGCCGGGAGACCTCCCGTCGCATCTGTATTCGATCCTAGAACATGGCCTTCGGTGTTGAGAAGGCTGCCTTCCTTCGAGGTCAATTCCTGGAGCGGAATCTCCTGGCCGACCGTCAACGTTGTCGACTGAGAAGACATGTCGTATCTAGGGGTAACAACTCGATGTCCTGTCCCAGACCCTTGGGCAGCTTGCCGACTCGAAGTTGATCAAAGCTCGCAATCGGGATTCTTTAATCGTATTTCAGCCGTGGTCCAGATCGAGAAAAAGTTAGGCGGCCTTGGGGTTTTATGGGAAAGCAACTTCAAAGGAGTTTAAATTCGTTTGAAAGCTAAGAATGACGAATGGGGATCCTAGTCTACCTTGGACGGAATATGTAATACGCCATTCCTTGCATGGGCGATGTGGGACGATCTCAAGCTTGAAGCGGGTTACTCCAGACTCACGGATACCTACCTTGCATCACTAAGCTTTGTATCCTTATTAGGGCTGGCTCGGCAGCTACCGAGTACCTCTGCTGGCAATGGAATGGTAGGCCTTCCCGGAGAATATTTCGCGGCCAGAGTCAAGACTCAGTTAGTATGAGTTCATGTGACTTTAGCAATGTTCCGAAGCAAACACCAGCGCTGCCATGGTGAGCGATCACCAACCCGGAAACCCGGACACTGCGAAACGGCGGGCGGCCCGAAGACCCGGAGACTCGATGGGCCTTAGATCAACTCAGATCAGAGAGCTGATTGGCTGTCTGGGTAATGTTCGGTGAATCTAAAGGTGAACGTGCATAGAAAACCGGTAGCCGGCTAAATATTCTGTCCCCCGCGAGACTCGTTCACCATCGTTAGCCCCGAGGAGATGGCGGAGGGGAGCGGACATCAGGCCCCGGTTTATTGTCAGAAGTGGATTCAAGAATTTGGAGTGTTTCCTCATTGGGAAGGATTGTCAACCTGTAGCGGCGACACTCCGCGACGCCTATCTAGACTGCGTTGGAGGGATAAGTGCGTCACGGGGTGAGTAGTAGTATCCCATTGACTAAGCTCATATGTGCCAGAGAGATCTGAATATAAATTCCGCAATGTCGTCAGCTTGACTGAGTCATCTTGCCGTGCTTACTCTTCTTCGTTTGGGTCAGCATGTTTCCTGTGTGACTTTTTCTTGTCACTTTTGAGGGGTTACTGGGGAATTATGAAATTCCCAGAATATTTCAGTGACGAAAAGCATATCCAGCACCCTATCGTCGATGGCCACATCGAACGAGACAATTTCACCGCGGGAACTCGGGATATAGATGACTATCTCACTCTTTACTGTTCTTATTACACGTTCGTCATTATTGGTTGCTTCAAGCGGACCTCCAACAACGGTAACGTAAATCCTGACTGAGAAGTCAATCCTATGGATCTTGAGATGAAGATGTTCCAGCTTAAGAGTCTTCTTCCTCGGTAAGAAGATGAATGACAACACATTTCATCCATTACCAGATGAAAGGATCGACACAGGAGGAGAAAGAATAAAGCAGTCATAAGCTATTTCCAACACTCGCCCCAAGCCCACATGCCAACCGATCTTCTTCTATCTGATCTCAAGTCGCTCAACTACCTAGCCCCGTAGCCACGTGGACACCAGATAACAAGACATGTTCAAACCTACCAGGTGATACCGCATCTCAACCTCCATATTCGTCGAGCCAAGCCCTCATCCTCGATCAACGACATCCCTTCCAAACGCCACACCCGTATGTTCAGAAGCAGAATTTTACTAAGCCTCGGCATCTCCCATCTAACAAAAAGGCCATACGTAGATGGTAGATGCCATCAGGGTGAAGACCGAACAAGCTCGGTCATGCAGGTGAGATATGGAGTCTTGTACCCCATCTTCCGAGATCACCCGCAGGGCCATGCATTCATTCCCAGCAATTCGGAAACTTTTTTGCGCAGCTTCGGCTCGTCCCGCCGCCAGCCGCTTAGTTCCAGCACAACTTTACCTTATCTGACGAGTACCCGTACAGATAGATATTCATCTGCCTACATCATATCACATGGCATACAGGCTAGGTTCATCATGTTGTATGTGTCTTAATCGTAACATTTCCTCATTATTCAACTCTCACGCGCTCGAGCGCAGGATAAGCCGAGGACCCTCGGTAGTTGTTTTTGAACATTGTACAGGTGTTATTGGCAAGAAAAAAAGCAGCATCGGACAAACTCCTACAGGTGTAAGGGTAGGTAGTCGTGTGTGTGCGTTTGTTGGTTTTTCATTCCCCCCCTTTTCGAAGAGGGGACTTGAATCGGGTGTCCCAGTTTCTACCCAGTCTATCGTTTCCCCGCCCAGCCATTAAAAGCCGATCGATTCTATCGTTTCGCTCAAGACACCAATAAAACAAACAGAGGTTTAACGGGAGAAAAGGTTACAGGACACAAAAGAGAAACAAAAAAACAACAAAGAAGTAAAATTATCCCAGCGCCAAAGGCAAGGAAAATGATTCATAAACGCCTAGAATAAAGCCACCCAAGCTCATTCTCTTGAAATGTCGCGACCAAAGACCTTGGACTTGAGCCAGTCGTTGACG